GCATTAGGTCCTCATTTTTCCACTGCCTTGCCTCCATCTCTGATGGCTGTTGCTTCTGCAGAGCTCACAAGCCAGGGGACCTTAGGGGCTCCCTTTCACCCAGATTACAAGCCCTGGGTAGAGCGAGCTGCCTCCTGAGACACTTGCTATGGCAAGAGGTAGAGTGTTGGACATGGAAAGGATCCATTTAAGGCAGTGGTTCTCAACCTGTGGGTCACGACCCCTTTGGGGGGGCCGAATGACCCTTTCATAGGGATTGCCCGTCGTAACAGTAGCAAAATGACAGTTATGAAGTAGCAACAGAAATCATTTTATGGTTGTGGGGGTCACCACCACATGAGGAACTGTATGAAAAGGTCAAGGCATTTAGGAAGGTTGAGAACCACTGGTTTAAGGGGCCTTTACATAAGCTTGGAAGAAAGCGTGCCCCATGTGTTCAAGATTCCCCTCTGCCCTACTCTTTACATCTTCCTGCACCTTTTAGATTTTCTTAACAATAGCAGTTTTAATGTTGCTTTTAATTAGATGAATTAAAAATGTTCTCTAATTCTATCGCCCCCCCCCCTTCCGCCCCCCTATCACCTCCAATTCCCCATTACTGTGAAGCACTTTAATCTCCATGGTAACGAGACTACCAGCCTGGGTTGGCTCTAGCTGGTTGGTCTGGTCAGAGGGAAGTTAGGGGCAGTCCTTCCTGGGATGAGGATGGTGGGGGAGAAGGTGTAGCCTTAATAGCATGAAATTCGAAGTGCTAAATGGTGCTGAAGAGTGGACAGCTAACCTTTCCTGGAGAAAAGACCACTTGGACTGTATGTTTCTTGAAGGAGGCCTGCCTCTACCAGAAAGAAGAGGCCCCGCCCTCCTCCCCTCCCACTCCAAGCTCCCATGCCCGTGACTAAGAGTCACCTGGTCCCCTCCTGTGCTTGACCTGCTTCCGACAGTACAAGGGGGTCTTGTTTCTCTCTGAAGCACAGGGTTCCTGGTAACCACTTGTTTCTTTCTCCCTGTTCTCTGCTCTGCCCTGTCTCCCTCTCCAGAGAGTGTTCAACGTCCTTTACCCCATGCCTGCCGACCAGCGGAGACACGTCAGCATCAACTCCGCCCGCTGGCTGCCGGAGCCCGGGCTCGGCCTGGCCTATGGCACCAACAAGGGGGACCTGGTGATCTGCCGGCCAGAGTGAGTGGTTGTAGAGGAGGCCTGCCGGGAGGCATGCAGCCCAGAGCGGGAGCCCGGGGTGGGGTGGGGCTGGAGTCTCCCAGGTGACAAAGTGTCACTCCTTACAGGACCCCTTGTCCTCCGCTGGCAAGGTTAGCGCTTCCTTCTCCAGGTCTCCTAAGGGTTGTGTGTCTCCTTGAAGCTAAGCTAAGGCATTATTTTCTTTCCTTCCGGTCCTTTCCTCCTTGTTCTCTGGTTTCCTAGTGATAGTAAAATTTGCCTGCAGGCAAAAGCATAGAGATCAGAGATTTAAAAAAAAAAAATCCTTTTAAAGAATTCAACAGGTGGCCTTAGGCGTGTGTAAATGCCATTGACCTTAACTTCAGAAATAACACTGGAAGTAGAGTATTGTTCAAACTCTAATTTGTCAAGCCACTGATCTCTGACAGCCAGGCTCTGGCTGTGGTTGCCAATCTTCCTAGCCGTTGGAAGCAAAATGCAAAGCACCGTTTACAATCAAAATGATGTTTATCTGTTCTAGGAGATAGGGGAGGGAGGAGAGCGTGAGGAGCCCAAGCAGTTCCTCCTCAAGTCCTGAGTTCATCCCTGGCCCTGCCTGTAACCTCACGGTGGGTTGGAGATCTACCCCAGCACCCGCTTACTTGAGACCCTGGGAGCCAGCCAGGCTTGTCGTCAATTTCCAGAGCCCGCCAGGTAGGGCGTGTGGTGCTCAGTGCATCAGTGCAGATCGGGCTGATTGCTGCGTGGCTGCCGCAGGGTGCCATCCCGCTAAATGCCACTTCTGCCTCCAGCCGCCCTGATGCCGACGGCTCCACAACCTCCTCCCGGTTGTTCTGCACATCACAGAGCTGGTGCAGCTGCTCCGGGTGGGGGGTGGGGGTTTGTTCTCCAGCAATTGGGTATCTCCATTATGCCTTTTCATGGGAACCTTGACTATCTTTCCTCGAGCGGGTTTGTGACCAGAGAGGTGGTTACCCTCCGGATCGCGAGAGGCAGTGTCCCAGTAGAAAGGCAGTTCTTAACTTCTTGAGACCATGCTGTGTGAGCCTGCCACTGTTACCTGAGGGTCTGTGTCCTCTACCACCAGGTGCTGGCTCTGCCCCTGCTGCCCTGGCCTGGCCACTATCTTAGGGTCACTGTCCTTGGGCCCGTGTCTTCTCTACATCCCCCCATTCCCGAGGCCGAATGTCTTCCCTCTGCCTCCTTCCCTAGGAATTCATCAGAAGCCTCTGATGGGCATCTTTGTCCCAGCAGACAGGACTCTGGACCCGAGTACACTCTTCCCAACACCGTCATTACCAGCCTCTCTCTCTGGTTTTGTGTCCGGCCTCAGCCAGTCCTCTCTGTCCCCACCAGACTCAGATGTGCTTTGTCAGAGGCCACACAGCAAAGCCCAGCCTACGTGCTGATGTGACTCACAGGCAGCGGAGCCAAGCATGGAGCTGGGCTTTGCCCCATTTGCTCGTCTCTCCCATGTGTCAGCTTCGGATCACACCGGCTCCTCGGGCCTTGGCCATCTTGGGCTGCCTCTGCCGTGAGGGTGCTGGCACTGGCACATGGAACATGGCATATCAGTGCCCACCACAGCCCAGGTGCTGTGGGGCTGAAGAGGGAGTAGCCAGTCTGTCTGCCTGGCAGCTGCTGTTGCTCCTGATCTCCTGGGCCTGGTCTGCAAGTGTCCCCACCTTCAGAAACAACTTCCTAGCGGCTGTGTAGACTAACATGGACACCTCTGGAGCCCAAGTTGCCCAGAGTGTATTTAGCCAGTCGTCTTTATGTGTGTCCAGTGTTTTGTTCTGGTTTGTTGCTATAGGCAGGGGAGACTGAGCAATAGACACCCCCCCACGCCCACCCGCCCATCCCCCCCAAGCCCTCCTAGCTCCTCAAGGACAGACGGAGGCCTCCAGCCAGTGCTCTCAGGACAGGAGCTGCTACGTAACCTGCTTTGCTTTAAAAACCCCTTGAAGATTCTGATGAAAGTGGTTGCCTCCAGAGGAAGTACACCACGCATGATGGAGGGGAGGGGAAGCAGCTCAGGAGCAGGGCCTCGTGCTGGAAGAGTGTAGGTTGGCAGCTGGGTCAGGTGACTGCCGCCATGACAGCAAGGATGTGTCCATCTTCCCAGCAGCCTTAGGCGGGAAGGCTTCCAATGGAGAACAAGCAGTAGGAGGGCCGTAGGCACGCAGGGCAGTTGTCTCTTTAGGAGGCAGCTGCCTGTCCCCATGTGACACGGGCCCCTGGCACACCCATTCCCAAGGGCACAGGATGTAGTCTGCCAGCTTGGCCGAGACTCCAGCCCTCCCTCACCAGCAGGTGGTTGTCTGCCTTTGGCCCAGCCCCAGGCAGCGGCATCCCCGAGTTTTGTGCTCCGCCCTGCTCCTGGCTTGTCCTCCGTTGTCTTAGCCTCAGCGCTCTCTGAGCACAAAGACGGGGACACAAGTCTCTCTCGCTGGTCTGAAACCCCACTTCACAAGACAAGAAGGCTGAAGACAGGATCTTCTCGCCAGGAGACAGGGGGCCAGGAGAAGGAATTCTGAGACTCACAGGGAAGACCACCACTGGCCCTTCAGCCCCTATGGAACCAAAGCTGCTAGAGTGGCCGAGAGTTTGGTCTGTCTCCCTGCCCTGCCTACTCTGTGAGGTGTACCTCCTCACTTGTCGCCACTCCTCACAAACCGCCAGCCCGGCCAACACCCCTACCAATAACCATGTTGGGTGTGAAATACCAGATTGGCCTGAGGGGGTGCTTGCTCACTTCCGGTTCCATAGAGCAGCCCGACAGTGGCGGAGCAGAGGACCAGGGAGTTGAGAGACTCAGACTCATTTCAGAAGAGAAGTAGGCCAGGCCTGTGGGACATCTGGCTCTGTGGCCAAGCGTGGGACTCCTGATGGCCCAGCTCAGTGGTTTTTTTACACGAGGGGCTGTCCCAGCTGCCATGGTCACCAGTGGCTACAATGAACCTCAATTGCCCAAGGAGGGTGAGGGCACAACCCACTGCCACAGACTAAGCCACGAATGCCAGGCCCCGTCTCTTCCCACGTCTATAGGAACAGCGGGGCAAACGCCGCTGTTTTCTCCAAGCAAGCACTTTGTGGTCCCAGCCTCTGTGACTAAATGAAAGAAGAATGCTCTCGGAGAGGGGGGGGCGGTCCCCCAAAGCTGAAGGGTGCCAGGAGTGGTGAGCACTAAGGCAGCCGGGTGGCTCTGAAGGGTGTCCTAGGGCCCCAGGAAGAGGCCCACAGTGAGGAAATGGTTGCCTTCATCCTGGTAGCACAGCTCAGAGATGCGGCCAAGGAAGCCAGGTGTTGAGTGGAAGTCCATGTGCAAGTCCAGCCGTGCGGGGCCTTCCGCTCAACCACATTCCTCTCTGTGTGTTTGCCTGGCTTCCTGAGAGCCCTGGCCCTGCTGTGACTTGGTTGCCCAAGAAGGAAGAAGCCAGCAGGTGCCAGTCTAATTGACAGGCAAGAGCAGGACAGAGACAGTGGGTTCAGGCTAAACGCTGCAGTCCCAGAGCTGGTGTTTGCAGCCTGTTCTCCCTCTGGTGCAGAGCCTGGAACGTAAGCCACAGCCCCGAGCAAGCTTGTCAATGCCGGCTGCACTGACCTCAGCACTGCATGCACAGAAGGCTTAGAAGTAGATCTGCTTGTGGGGGCAGGAGGAGGGTGTGGGCCTTTGGATGCAGTACCCCAAGACCCTGTGACAGGAATCAGGGCTCCTGGTCATGCAGCCCATGGTTGTTGCTGGGTGTGCTGTCACCCAGCTGTCAGCACTGGGCCATAGAGTGACAGAGGTGGGATTGGGCAGGGACCCACATGCATCAGAGGCTCGCTGGCAGCTGGCTTTTCATGGCCTCTAGGAGCCAGTCTGCATCGCAGGGCAATTGATATCTTGCCCTTTGCCTCACCCTTCGTTGAGAAACCCTCTCCCCCTTTGCCCTCAGACGCCCCTCAGCCCCCACAAGAGAGGCATTTCTTCCCTTCTAAAGCAGGTTTCATGCAGGATGCTGTGGGTCTTTGGTGCGGCTCTTCTTCCCTCACTCAACTCTGGGGCTCAGAATCTCGGACGCTGGAAAACGCATGTGGGTCTCCGCATGAAGTCCCTGGGCAGGACAGACAAACGATTAAGAGCACCACTAGTAGCCAGACCACCCAGAGGCACCTCGGAAGACAGGCCTGGGATCTGCTTCCAAAAGCCCACAGCCTTGAACACAGAGCAGTCCAGAGTCAACCTGCCAGCAGCTCATCACAGCTGCCACTGCCCCCTGTTGTCCTCCTGCTCCCTGAGGGACCTTCACACACTCTCTCTCTCTCTCTGCTTTCTCCTTTCTCTCTCCCCCTCCCCCCTCCCGCTGTACAGCTCCCGAAACTCCTCTTGCCCTGGCCATCTTCCTCCACAAACACAAGTTTCTCTCTTGCCAGTTCAGGAGGAAGACCCTGGTCTTAAAAGTGTGCATCCTGGACGCCGGGCCTGTGCCTGACCGCTTTCCTCCCTCTCTGCTCCTAGCTTACTGGTTCACCTTCTGTCACATCCCAGAAGAGATGGACTCAGGACACCCTCCCTAATCCTGTATCCTTAGCTTAACAAAGACAGTCCCCTCCCTCCCAGGTGGGGCATCACCACAGGCTGAGAGGTTAGAGTTTACAGCACAGAGGGGGGTGCACGTATGATGCCATTGGCAACACTAGCTAGCCCTCAACTCCTGCTGGCTCTCCTTTCTCTGCCTGGATGGCAGTGTGTGCTGTCATGGGGGCCTGGGCGTCTGGGTAACAAGCTTGTATGCACACCCTGCCAGTTTAGGCACAGAGCTGAAGGCCTGAGGGACCCTGGGCCATGTCCACGTGCACATACTCAAAGATGCCTCTCGCTGAGCCCTTGTCCACACCCCAGCCCTGCTGACTGGTGTCAGGTGATTCTATCTGGTGAAGAGTCAGGTGACTCTTCAGGAGGCTTGTGTTCTCTGACACCCCCACCCCCTTGCAGTGGTAGCTCAGGGTGGAAGGACGAGAGACCACTGCTTCCCTCTGGCAACTGTGAGTCAGGCAGGGTCTCCCTGCCAGGACAGCGGGCAGCCTGGGCCTGAGCTCCTTGGAAACCCACCAGCCCGTCGCTGCTGGGGACCTCCCCTCTGACTCTTCAGGAGGTCCTCAGCTCTGCTGCAGCCCAGAAAGCCTTGTCAGGGGCGCTCCCAGCCAGCCCTGGCCAAGGAGCAGCTGGTGTTGGGGAGGAGGAGGAGACTGGTCTTCTTGGCTTGGGGTGAGGTTTTCATGGGCTACAGGTAGAGTGAGACAGGTCAGGCCACGTGGAAGGAGGGATGCACCGTACCCCCTTGTTCCTGGAGCCTCTGTTCCCGAGGACCGGGCTCAGCCTGCAGGGACCACTGCCTGTGGCACTGCGCTCTTGGTGGGCCTCTGTACTGCTCGCTGGGCCTGCTAAGTTCCTTTTTCAAGGGCTGGAGAGGGAGGGCAGTGGGGAATCTGAGAGAAATAACTCTCAGGCTGCCAACCATGCCCAGAACCCTGCATGGCCTTGACATTCCCTCCCTCATGCCTTCCATGCCTTCTCCTCCACTCTCCCACATGATTTCCAGGGCCTTGAACACCGGCATTGAGTACTACTGGGACCAGCTGAGTGAGACTGTCTTCACTGTCCACTCCAGCAGCCGGAGCAGCGAGCGGCCCGGGTAAGTCGATGGGTGATGCTTGGACTGGACTGAGGCCCATGGGCCCCACGGCTACACAGCAGCTTTTGCCAGTGACCACATTTGAGCACAGAAAAGCAGGAAAACAAGACCACTGCTCTTGGCGTCTTGCTTTAGAATAAACCGGACTGCCTTCCATTGGGGCCATGGTATCAGGACACGTTTGAGCTAAAGAAGTCTGCTCTGTGGTCCAGGGAGAAGCTGTGGGTCACTGGGTGGTCAGGGAGGAGTCCTCTTCAGGGGCCAGTTAGAGAATAGAAATCAGATGACAATCCTCTTACTGTTTAATTCCATGGGGGTCTTTTGGGAGGTGGGGGTGGGGGGTAGGGTGGGCAGCAGATGAGCACCCTAAGCCAGCCTCTGCTTCCTGGAAAGACCACGGGCTGGTGGAAAGGTGGTGCCTGCATAACAAGTAGTGTGTCTGCTGACAGGAACCAGCCCCTGCTTCCCCAGAGGTCACTGCCTGAATGTGCCCACGCAAAGGGGCTACCAGACTGGGGTGGGACCATTCTCCTAGGGCAGCTTAGGCACCCTGTCTGCAAGGGGCCCTAAGAAGCCTTGGTTGAGAAGGATCTAAGGTGGACCTCATAAGATTCCCATTGTGCTTCCTCTAATGTAGAAATCTCAGGCCACTTAGAAATCCTGTCAGCATCCAGTTAGGAAGGACCGAGTAGAGGGAAGGAGGAAAGCCTCCCATGGAGTCCGGCCAGCAGCTGCCAGAAGACTCTCTTAAGAACAGCCATCTTCCCCTCTCCTGATGGCTTCAGCAAGTGACTGACTCGGCTGGGTTCAGAGTGGGTGGATGTGGGGTCTCCCATTTGGTCCCAGGGTGGGAGCTCAGCAGAGTAGATGCAGGACCCTGAGGTGGCATTGGGCCAACAGCTTTTCGTGAGGGGTACTGACCCGATCCCCCTGATTCACTCTGCCTCTCTCCCCCAGAACCAGCAGAGCCACGTGGAGGACAGACAGGGACATGGGCCTGATGAATGCCATTGGGCTACAGCCCCGGAACCCGACCACCTCGGTGACCTCCCAGGGCACCCAGACGCTGGCCCTTCAGCTGCAGAATGCTGAGACGCAGACCGAGAGGGAGGTCCAGCAGCCGGGGGCAGCGGCCTCAGGCTCTGGTGAAGGTAGGAGCGCTGTAGCGCTGGGCCAGAGGGACTAGAAGCATGGTCACCCTCCTGGGAGAGGCTCTTGGCCCCTGGACAGGACATTGCTGGTCAGAATGAGTCCCTCTCAGGTGGCTGGGCAGTACCCACTCTTTGGGGGAGTGTGTAGGGCCTTTCCCCGAGCTCACCTGCTGTTACCAGTGCTGAGCGGCGCTTGCTCGCACTTCTGCTCGGGGGGCCCATGGCTGCAACAGCAGCACTGGAGGCAGCGCAGTGTAGAAGGACTTGGGAGAAGTGGGCCCAGCTCTCTGGCTTTGGGGGCCAGTCACGGGTATTGCTGGGGGGGACACTCACGTTACCCTTGGCCAGGAGTTGAGCTGGCCCACCAGCTCTGGAACTGCCACTGGGAGACGTTTCAGGGGCTTGTTGGCGCTTCTGCTGCCCACGGCCTGGGCCGCAGCCCGGCACAGTGCAGCCCCTTCCCCTCGCCTGTCTCTCAGGTGCGGCTCAGCCCACCTCGCCCTGCTCTCTGAGCTGGTCTCACACTTGTAAGAACCAATTAGCACTTCCCAGCAGTGGAGCTCCAGCCACTTTGGAGTCTGTCAGCAGTGTGCTCAGCAGGCTGTCTTCACCCGGTCACTCTCTGACCCCTGCCTAGGCCCCTTGCTGGTCCCCGCGGCAAATAGCCACCCCTTTTCTCATCTGTGTGGGGCTGTTTGCTCAGAAGAGCCCGTGGGAGGAGGAGCCGTGGCAGGCAGGCAGGCAGGCAGCCAGAACACCATGTCAGCCACCCTCGTGGGGTGGGATAGAATTGTCCAAAGTTATTCCCTTCTGGTCTGGGCCCAGCCTACCGCCTCTAGCTGAGGCCCCTGGCTTTGGTAGAAGCAGCTGACCATGCCTGGCTTGGCAGTCAGTGCACCCTCCAGCCTTAGTAGGGAGATTCCTGGGGGCTCTTCTTGCTCCAGAGCAGCACAAGGAGGTCCCCCATTCTCTCGTGTGCCCAACTCTCCCTCACCGCCAGTGGGCAGTGAGAGCCCCTCTAGGTCAAGAGGGATGTGGGGTGGTAGGCGGAGTCATAGGTAGCCCTGTCAGCCTCTTACTGAGCCCCCACACAGGTCGTCCAGTGCACTCTGTCCAGAGGGCGACGGGACTCGACGCAGGAAATTCATCTGAAGAGGACATTGTCTGGGGAGCCTTCTAGAGGGGTGACCTTGATGAGCAGGAGCTGGCATGGGTGGCATGGGAGGCCTTCAGGTAGAGGGGATAGCATGGGTAGAGGTACCAAGTTCCATTGCCCAGCAAGTGGGTGTGGTGGCCATTAAAGAGGCCACCTCCCAAAGAATTCTTGGTGCTTGTCTTTGTTCCTTTTATTCAAAATTTCTCTAGTATCTCTGTGCTCGGACCTGCTTTGTTGCTAACATGCAGCCAAGCACATGGTGTTGAGTGCCGAGACGCCATCCTTGGCTGCAAAGCTGGGCTCACCCCCACTGCTCCTCAGCCTGGCCCCTGCAGCAGCAGGAGCTGTCCCTCGTGGTCAGTGCCGCAGTTGCTCTCCTCGTTTGGGTTAGCAGGGGCCGAGGGCTCCGTCAGGGAGGAGAAAGAAGCCAGAGCCAGGCAGGTGGTGGAGAAGGGAGGGCCTCCCTCGGTGCTCTCGATTCCTCTCCAAGTGGATGGCGGGCCCTGTGTTGCAGGGACCGACCGTGTGTTTGGACAGCTTGCAGGGCCAGCCCAGCATGCAGCAGGTGCCTAGGGCTTGTGTAGACTGAAGCAGCCCTGTGCCTCCCTCGGGTTGGATGCAGGTGCTAGCCCCCAGCTGTGGTAGAGGGTTGGGTGGTTTTTGCTTTCTGTAGTGAATTAGGTGACGTTTACAGAGCAGCTCATCCGTTTTCCATGCAACAGCCCATCTCCCTTTTGTTTCAGCTCCTTCCTCATGACCCTCTCGTAGCCCATTCTCCCCCGCTTCCCGTGGCTCATTGCTCCTCTTCTAGTCCTCTCAGCAGCTGCTCTTGAGGTGGCCCCTCGTCTTGGTGGGGAAGCCCCAGAATGAAATGCGGGCACGGGCACAATGAGAAGTTGCTGACCTCACCCTGGCACCCCCTGCATCCAGAAAGAATGGAACTCTAAGCTCTGGCCACAGAAAAGCTCACCTGCCAACACAAAATCGGTGCCCAGTCTTTCACAGATAGAAGCTTCTGCTGCCAGCAAGGAGACAGCAGAGTTAACCCTTGGCCCCCCAGCTCCTGGAGCTCAGAGCTCCGTCCTCAGCCAGGAGGGCCAGTCCTCAGTCCCCACGAGCTTTCCCTCCTGCACACAGCAGCGCAGCTGGGCTCTCTGGGCAGGAGATGGCCACAGGCCACCAGACACGCGACTCCAGTGCTCTGCAGAGGGGTCAGAATTCACATGTGGGGCCCCTGCTCCAAAGCCAAGGCCAAAGAGAAAGTGGACATGAGAGTCCTTCTCCCCCAGGAGGGATAGCATGTGGCCAGGTCCCAGGTGCCTTCTTAGGCCTGTAGTGCCTGTGAGCAGCATGGGAGCCCTTCTGTGCACCAGATATTCACCTAATGTGTGCGTGAGCAGGGCCTGATTCCAGGCAGGTGACATTTAGTTCCTTCAGGGGCCCACAGGCCAGCGGGGAGACCACAGGCACGTGGCCGACTGAGTGGTTCTGGCATGGGCCCACTGCAGCTCAAGGCCACTGCCCTGAGGCTACTGGGCCCTGACCAGGACAAGACTGCACTCTGGCTCAGTGTTGGGGATTTGGGGGGGGGTGGGGGGGGTTAGAAATAAGAGGGCCAGTTAGGAAACACTGCATGTGGTCATGGTCATGAGAGATGGTCAAGCCCTGAACCACCACGAGCAGTTGGAGGTCAGGAGACTAGCAGCACGCCTCTCTAGAGAATATCTCCCTCCTGGCCCCAGGGAGCCTTGCCTGGCTTGAGCAGCTCACGTGAAGGAGCACGTAGCTCCTAGGCAGAGAGCCCGGTGTGGGAGCTTGGTGCCAGCAGGCTGCAGGGCAGCCCAGGCGCTCTTGTGCACATAGAACTCTTGGAAAGCGTGGGGTGACTGGTGATGCGAATGTAGAGGTGGCCCCTGGGGCCTGCCCATGTTGTCTCCTTTGGCTCAGGATTGAAGTCGTGCCATTGCTGAGGCGCCCTGGTGGGTGCCCCCAATAATAGAAGGCCTTTCCCCAAAACAGGCATGCGAACCCTCAGACTCCCTTTCCTTCCCCTTGAACAAGCTGGGGGAAGCTTCAACACCCCTGTCCTAAGCTCTAAGGAGGTGGGCAGAGCAGGAAGGGGAAGGATCAGAGCAAGCACTGCACAGTAGTGCCCAATAGGCACTAACAGTCCTGGTCCCACGTGCCCCCAAAGCGTCCCACAGATGAGAAAGGAGACGGATGAGGGACTCATCCAGCCCATCCTTGGGAGCCTTGGTCACAGCAGCCCCTGGCCCTGACTGGGCTAACCAGTGGCCTGACGGCAGGACTGTGAAGACGGCTTCCAGCAGTCATGACTGAGGCCCAGCCCACACCTCGTCTCACTTCCTCTGCCCAACACTGTGCAGGGCTGCCCGCTGCCTTCATCCCAAGTGAAGGGGCCAGGGACATGCACAGAACAAGTCATGGGACTTGTCTAAGGGTATGCAGCTCCGAAGCGGCAGAAGTGAGATTTGAGCCAGCACCTTTTCTGCTAGCCCCCAGGCCTGGAGTGGCAGCCAGCTCTCCAGAGAAGGACACGACTGTCGGCCTCCAGGCCTGGGAGAACAGTGTGTGGGAATAGCTGGTGAGAGCTAGTGGCTACTGGGAAGAGAGGGAGGAGACGGAGTGCCTACTAAGGACCAGTTAACCAACCCGGCTTCCTCGTGGGCTGGAGCTCAGGGCAGAAGTCCGATGAGTAGTGCTGAGACACAGGGAAGTGCGGATGTGAGGCAGCACAGACCTGGGCCTTTGGGCCCACATGCTGGGGGTGGGGGGCAGGCGGCCCACCTCCCACTGCAGGGCTGTGGGACTGAGTTGCTCAGGTCGGGGCAGGTGGGGGTGATAGGCAGCTGCACTGGTGGGGGGCCCCTTCCTCAGCCTTCTTGCCTCCTGGCCTGCTTGTGCAGAAGGTGCTCAGGAGCACCTGGGAGGTTCCAGCACCTCCCCACCCCCCCCACCCCCACTCTGCCTCTTTCCTTGGGGCAGAGCCTTGGCCAGCTCACCCATCCTGAGCCAGTTGCCATTGAGGTTCGGACTGCTGGCCAGTGTGTCAGCAGAGCCGGTTCCATCGGGTGTTTGCAGAAACTGATCTCCTGGCCTTTCTCCCTAGGTGCCCCGGCAGATGCCCACCTCAGCTGCCAGTCAGTAGCTGAGCACGTAACCACTGAGGCCACCCAGGGGCTCCCCGGCCCGCTAGACCCAGGCTGTCCCGTAAACCAGGGTCAGTTATCATGTGAGGGGCTCCCTCTGGCTTTGACAAAGCCTCTTCTTCTCACCATGGGGGGTTGTCATCACTTTTTATCCCTGTTTGTAGCCCAGCGCCCCCCTGCCCATGCTGTAGCTCATCGCCGTTCTCCCCACTTTGCCCCTTTCAGGTGAGGGCTCGGAGATGGGCGTTGGCGGCGACGATGCGCTGAGCAGGATCCAGCGGCTGATGGCAGAGGGGGGCATGACGGCAGTGGTGCAGCGGGAGCAGAGCACCACTACGGCCTCTATGGGCGGCTTCGGCAACAGCATCATCGTCAGCCACCGTATCCACCGAAGCTCCCAGACGGGTGCTGAGCCTGCCGCCACCCGTGCTGCCTCACCCCAGCCCTCCACCTCTCGGGGACTGCTCCCCGGGCCTGGGCAGCTGGTGGAGCGAGGCCTGAGCCCTCGGACAGCTTCCTGGGACCAGCCTGGGACCCCAGGGCGGGAACCGCCCCCACCACCCCTGCCCCCTTCCTCCCCCATCCCCACCCCTGGGCCCCTTTCCAGCTCTGAGGGACCAACCCTGCACTGCGACCTGACCAGCAGCCATCACCTTCCTGATGGCAGCAGCAGCAGGGCGGACACTGCCAGCCCTGGTGGGGAGCCGCGGAACAGGTAGAGACAAGTGCAGGCGCTGGTGCCTCCCCTGAACCGCTGAGCAGAGACCGGACCTCACAGCTAACTGGGAACTGTACATGCGGAAGAGCTGCTGGCTGCGTCAGGGAGCAAAGGAGACGGGTGGGGGGGTCGAGGGGTCTGAGTCAGTGGGCCTATGGCAGTCGACGGGCAAAACCTGCCTGGGGGACGAGCCTGCCAGGCCCAGAGCCCTGGAGGGCCACAGGCTGGGCCCTGTGTGACTGAGGAGCAGGTGATGATGTCAGCCTTAGCCTCCCTTCTAGGAGGTGGGCTCTAGAGACTCCCTGGGGCAGAGTGCCCCACAGCACGAGCAGGCCTCCTGATTCTGGACAGAGGCTAGTGGGGCAGCAGGCCCTGACCACCTCTTGCCTGGGCAGAGCCACCAGGAGCCCAGGAGTGGAGGAGGCACGGCTGTGTCTAGAAACCACCTCCCAGAACCCCAGCGTCTTTGTCACACCACACAGAACCACAGGTTGCCTGGGTGGGGTGCCCAGGGCCTTGCCCACAAGCCCTTCTGCACTTATTCCGAGGGGAGGGACAGCAATGGGCTCAGGGTGGGGTTCAGGGACAGTGGGTGGGCCCTCACTCAGGAGTGGGGGGTGTCGGCTGGCCCGCGCCCGGACTTGTCTGCCAGCTCCCCACTCCCCTCAGGACCTTGCGCAGTACCCGTGGGGGCCCAGTGTTACCCTGTACCTGGCCACAGCCACCCGGGGCTGGCAGCCGGGCCTGGATAAGGCAGGACTCCGGGTCAGAATGTGAGGTCTTGTCTGTGATTTAAGGTGTTGCATGTGGAATCTTGAACTGTACGTGTAGTTTCTAGTGGAGAAAATCAAGGCTCTGATTATTTTGTTTTTAGTATGAAAATGTGATTTCGTTTCTGTTTGTAACTCATCATAGAAACCTGGTGGTGGGAGGAGAGGGGACGGTCTGACTGCTGATGAGGGAGACGCCAAAGAGCCCCATCATTAAAGTGATGACGTGCCCCTCGCCTGGCTCCTGTCTTCCCTCCCGCCGAGGATGGGTGGGGGTGGGGCACTGAACTGAGCTGGAGGCCTTTCTGGCCCTGCTGCCACCTTCGCGTCACACTGCTTGCTTCTCAGGACACCGCCACCCCCTGCTTCCCTGGGCCTTCCACAGCCTGCAGGCCTGGAGGGAAGAAAGAAATGTAGCTCTGTCCGAAAAGCCGGTACCCTTGACCAGGCTTGCTATGCTGCAGGCGTTTCCCAAGAGACACTGTTCCCTGACTGTCCCGGTCCCCATTTCCTTGTGGCTTCCATGTGCTGGCCCTGCCCAGGGGCCTGGCCTTGACCCCTTCATATTTTAAACCAAAAAGATAGGGTGGGGGGACATCTGCCTCAACTCCTAGAGGTGTCTGTCAGAGCAACACCAGGGCCTTTGCCAGCGGCAGGTTCCTGAGCAAGGCGGGGCCCTGAGAAGACTCACAGTTGGGCGATACTAGGATTTTCCAGAGAAATTATATAACGGTGCACTCCGGACTATGAAGACATGTCTGCCAGAGTATGAGTAACCGGATACCAGGAACCCAGGGCGCAGTCTGGTTTACCCTAAGCAGGAACCCCTCTGATGGTAAGGTCACATCTCAGGCTGAGTGCCTAGCACTTGCCTGAGCTGCTTAGACTTCTCCCAGAACAGCTGGCTCTCCAGGCAGTAAGCTCAGGATCATGGCTTCTCCACTTCCTTGGGGAAAAGGGTGTGGAGCAACCTTGCGGACTGTTGGCAAAGGTGCCTAGCATGCATACCCACTCCTGCCTTGAGGGATGTGCAAGGTGGGACCTATGAACCTGCTGAGCCCCAGTCCGAGCTGCTGCTGCTGGGGCGCCGGAGGCCAGCCTCTCCTTTGAGGGGCTCCACTTCCCACTGCCCCAGCCAGCCAGCTCCAGTCCTGAGGTTGGCTCTGCACCACCCAGCCCTTGTTCCAGGTCTACTGAGAGGCCTCTTCCGCCTGAGATACCTGCTGCCTCCCCCACCCCCACCCCCACCCCCACCGTGCGCACACACTCTGAGACCCCTCCACACACCCAAAGTCGAACCCGGCGAGGCAGACCTTGACTCCTTCCTGCCCCTCTTCTGCCACCCCTGCTCGGTCCTGTGAGTGTTTCCAGGGGGAACACTTAAGAACTAGCCTTCTTTAACATTGGTGCTCAGAGTGCTGGGGCCATGGGCATGGAGCCCTCGGCTGGCCAGGCGGAGCTCTCCGAGGTGCTGAAGCTGCCCGCGCGCCGGTCCGGGCCTGGCGTGGTCACTGCCCATCCCTGTATGGTTCCAGCCCTAAGCCCCGCCCCTTGTGACCTTGGGGCCCGAGCGGCGGGGCGGGGCGGCCAGTCCAGAGCTGGAGCTGCTGTGTGCTCTGCCCTGGGCGTCCCTCTTCTCTCACCCCTGCCCAGGCCAGACTGCTCCGACAGCACCCCTCCCCTCGGGCCACCGGGCTTCTCCCGACGGACAGAACCAACCCCACTTTATGGTCTAGACTCGGGTCGGGGTCAAGCCCTTCCGGACCCGCGTGAGCCCCCGAGGTCCAGTGTGCACGGAGAGCGAGCCAGACGGGGCTGCCTGCCGGCTCCCCACCCCCACCCTCCTGCAACGCCGTGGCCGCACGATGCCCCCGCCCCTCCTACCCCCTCCTTCGCCCACCCCTCCCCGGAGGAGCCCTCGGCGACCGTGAGCTGTGCCCCTGTGCCGGGCAGGAGGGGCGGGAGCCCAGCGCCTGGGTCCCCGACGTCCCGTTGGTGCCCCCAGCGCGTCGCCGCTGGGTGGCCGACCCGGGGCGGGCGTCGCGGCCCCACCACGATTGGCTGCTTCCCCGTGACATCACGCGGCTCAGGGAAAAGTGCGAGCGTGAGCGCGAGTCGGAGCCACAGCGCCGGGAGCTGCGGGCGGAGCAGGGGCCGCCCCTCGGCACCCTGTCCCCGCCCCCGGCCAGGCCACCCGGCTGTCCCGCCGTCTGTCTAGTGCCTGGGGAGCGGGGCGGTGGTGGCGGCGGTAAGTGACTGCAGCCGCGCGGGGGCGGGCGGCCGGGTGGGGCAGATGGGCGAGGGGCTGCAGGACCCCCGAGGCCCCCAGCAGGTAACCGCCGCCGGGGACAGGGAACAGAGCCCAGGGTCCCGGGGAGGAGCGCGGAGCCCGCCACTGCAAAGGGAGGGCCTCGGCGGGGTGCAAGGCCCGGGGTCCCCAGGCAGCTTCGCCAGCGGCGCCTCGCTCAGGAAAGGCTGGGCGCCCCGGAGGTTGGAGGGTGCGGCCCACACCCCCTTGCTGGCCGTCGGGCCGGACCCGCGTTCCTGGTTCCCGTGGCGGCCCTGCGGGGCCGCCGGGCTCCGCAACCCAAGGATACCCTTTCCCGCCGCCTCCCCGCCCCCCAGGCGCGCTCCAGCCCCCTGGGGCTCCCGGGGCTCCAGAGCCCCGAAGGAAAGCACCCTGCCATCTCCAGGCACCTTCCCCTACGACCCTCTTCTGTTGCCCGGGCGCTAATCCCCGAGGTCCAGCGGGAAACCCTAGCCCGGGGCAGACCTGGCAGGCGCCCCGCGCCCCCTCTCTCTGTCCAGAACTCCCAAGTCTCCGTTCGGAGCGAGCCCTGGGACTAACACCTGAAAGCCGGGAAGGACCTGCGCCCCAAATCACCCCTCGGCACCCGCAGTCTGCTCTGCCAGCTCGTGTGTGGCCCAGGAGAGGGGGCCGCCAGCATGGGAGATGGTGTTGGTGCCCAGAGGCTGCAGAGCTGCGTGCTAGGGCCCTGGGGGGGGTGGGGGTGGCGCTGGAGCCGTCAGGGCCCCACCAACTGTGACACGAGGGAGACGTGGACGGGCCCCCCTCGAGGTCCAGGAGCCCAGGGCTTGAGAACCATGTGGCCTTTGTGGCCAAAGTGCGCCTGACCTGCCTGTGGGGAGCCCAGTGAGAAGTGGGGGTGATCCCTGTTAGGGGTGTGCTGCCTGCGCACGCACGCCCGCACGCCCTCCCGAGAGTGGGCGCCCTTTGGCGTTAAAATGCCACGGAACAAGGGCACGCTTCGTTCAGCGCGGTGTCCCCGCACGGTCAGCCAGGGTTACTCTCAGAGGCCCCTCGACAGAAATCAGTCCGAGGCTGCAGCTTTGGAAACCTCTGGGAGCCCCGTAAACACCTGTCCAAGGTCATTAGGGGCCCGTCGCGGCCGAAGGATACACAGGTCTGTCGGCCTGCTCACGACCTTGTTCCACCCACAAACGGACCGCTTTCGCTGGGCACCCCCTCCTCCCGCGGCGCTAAGTTCTGTCTGGTAGCGGTGTCGGGAATGTGACCTGCCAGGCACGGCACGGCCGCGGGAGCATTTGCTCGCGCGTCCAACCCCATAGGTGCAGCCCGCCGAGCTGGGCGCACCCCCAGGTCACAGCTCCCTGGGCCTGCACACCCATGCGCACGCAAGTGTCCATCGGGCGCGGGCCTGCTCACGCGCACCGGGCCCCAGGCGTGGCCGCATACACGCACATTCAGGCAGCTACTAGCGTCTACTCCCGCACCCCGGCAGTCACACACAAACAGACTGCCACTGGTGTTACGCCCACACGTTTCTCGCCCGGTGCCCTGTAGAATCCAGGCGCAGTTAACTTTCCCTCCGGGGAGCCCCGCGAGGGGCGTGGGGCGCGGCGGCGACCGCGGGCTGGGCGGGGCCAGGGTCCCCACGACCCTTGTTGAGGAGACTTTGCCTGAGGACTTCTTTCCGGGGTGGCGGGGGGCTCCGTGGAGGTGAGGACCGGGGAGTGGCGGCCGCCAGCTCCAGGTGTGGAGCTGGCACCGGGGACCGATATCGCCATCTAGTGGCGCCCACAGCCCCCAGCCCAGCTGCGCGCTCCTCCGGGCCTGGAGCCTGGAACGTGCCAAGGGGGCTCCAGTCCAAATACCAGCCCGCGACTCTGACTCGGGGTCCCAAAAAGGAAGCCTGCGCGGGGAGGTGTGGGGTGCGACGGCAAGGAGGTCCTGCATCATGCTGGCGACCTCTTCAGAGTGGAACTAAACCTCTGGGAGCCAGCGGGTCCCTGACACCATCTGTAGCCCCCCCCTTAGCAGAGCCAGGAGGTTGGAGGGACATAAACAGGTCTCCCCTGAGAAAGCTAAGGAAAAGAGCAGCCCCGGACCCTCCGCAGCCCTCACTGATCACCCCCCAGCTGGGTGGCATTGAGGGAGAACTGAAGCAGAAACATCCTTGGCTCCCCAGGAGCGCTGCCTGGCCTCTGAGTTCTAATCCTGCCCTGGGCCGGTGAATTAAAGGGACTCTGGTTTGCAAGATGGAGCAATTCCATTTTGCACACACAGGTGTTGGAATTGACAGGACAGCAACCAGCAGGACTCTAACAAGCAACTAACAGAGATGGCTGCCTTTCTGTGTCTCTCTCCAGACACTGCCATGCACACAGCCAGCAGTTCAAACCATCAGCAGCTCCTCTGGAGAAAGCCTGAGCTTTCTACTCCCATAAACAGCTGCCCGCTCAGAAGCCCGCATGGGCTTGCTATGAGTCAGCATTGACTCGATGGCAGGGAGTCTGATTTTTTGGTTTGGTCTCCAGATAATCTATATAAAAAGCCCAGCGGGACTCCTGACTCACAGTGAACCACTCAATAAACAAGAGCTCCCGCTTGCCAGCTCCACCCTGCCTGCTTCTCAGCCCCAACTTGTGTCCTGGCTCTAGGAGCTAAGGCCAGGCTTCCGTAGGCTGGCTGGCAGGGTACCAGAGCAGCCTGGTCGGCTGGGGGCTGCAGCCTGAGGCACCATTTCAGAGGCTGGGGAGTGGGGGGTGGGGAGGAGGGGGGCTGAAAGCCAAAGCTGTCAGAGCTCCTGGGAGAAGGTGGTGGGGTGTCTGGTCTTTTTGCCCTTGACCCCGGTGTGACCTTGGAGTGGCACCACTCTAAGTCTCTCCATGAGCTACCAGGCCGGGAAGCTGCGGCTGTGGTGGTGGAGTCAGGTCCAATTTGGGGGTCACCCCAGCACCCAGCTTCCACCTTACATTTTCATGCTTAGACCCAGTAAGTTTAGGTGCCCATCGAGGCCCATAGATGCTGGGGAGGGTGGTCCCGGGCCAGGAATCCCTTTTGCAAAGGAGAACGTGGAGGAGGTGAGTAGTGTCTACTTGACTAATGGGAGGACCCAGCCCCAGGTGGCTGGCCAGCCCTGTCGTCACTCCACAGGCATGGGTTCCTTCCCCCAGGCCCACTCTCCCTCTCTCAGCCGTTCATTCTTGAGCCCCCAGGCTGGTGCAGCCTGGAGGGCTGTGCTGCCCTGTGCGTGTGTAGAGATGCGAGTGTTGGCGGGTGTGGAGGAAGCTGGGCCGCTTACTGCTTTGGCAAGGCACGCTGGGCGTGGGCCTCCTCACGTGTCTGTGAGAGGCAGGGGGAGGGAGCCCAGCGAGGCCGGGTGGTTGGGTGGGTGAGAGGACAGCCTGGGGGAGGGGCCTGTGCCAGGAGGACCCCTGTGAGCCCCAGCTGGGTCTCAGAGGTGTGTGCTGTTGGGGTACCCTAGGCTTCCTCAGAAGCAGCCCTCTTCCCTGAGTGTGTGTGTGTGGGGGGGGCATGCTTTTAACCCTTTGGGTTCTCAATCCAGGCACCGCTTGGCCCTGGCCCTTGGGGGCTACGGCGGCCTTCAGCAGCTGCCGGTTCTGCATGCAGGACCTTGGTCCCCAGGAGCAGATGGAGCTCCAGCCAGAGCCCCCAGCTCTCACTGCACTAGCCCCTCCCCCAGCCCTGGTGTCGGACTCAGTATCTCCCTCCATAGGCGCCTTCCCCCAGGCTCCCCTGGGGCCCTCTGTCCTGGGGAAGCTTCCCGTGGGATCTGCTTTCTGGGGCTCATGGGCCATCTGGCTAAGTCTGTAGCCACAGGACTGCTCTCCTCCACACTCACCCCTGCCGGCATGGAGCTGTGAAGTTTGGTCAGTGGGTCCAGTTACTGAACATCGCTGTGTTTCCTCATCTCTCCCCAAGCCCCCAAACCGAATGCCACCCCACTGCCATCACTCAAAATGACCCTAGAGAGCATGGCCCAGGAGCCCTGGTGGCATCCTGGGTTACTTGTGGGCCTGCTGACCAAAGGGCCACGGTTCACAACCACCAGCTGCTCCCCCGGAGAAAGACGAGGCTTTCTGCTCCTGTGATGACTGGCAGTCTCGGAAACCCACGGGGGCACTTCTGCCTGTCTTCTAGGGTCACTGTGGGTCGGCACTGACCCCATGGCAGGGAGTGGACGATGGGACGCCTGAGTCAGAATGAGCCGGGCAGTGCCTGCTTCTGGTTTTGGTTTGAAATAGGTGCCCTGTGGAGCAATGGACCACTGAATCTGTCGGACACACATGAGGTTGGCTGTTCCTATAAAGCCTTGCCAGATGGACAGTCCTCCTTTGCCCTACAGGGTCTCTGTGTCTTGCAGTGGGCTTGACCGTGGGTTTTGAACACACACCCTTATGCCACTGGTTTTGTCCCTAGTGCCTTTGGTCGGGGCTGGAAAGCAGGCTCCGCTGGGGGCGCTGGGTTCAGAGGTGACTGAGCTAAGGAATGGCCCTGTCTGGCAGCCTCCTGCCCCTCAGCTCCCTTGGTGCCACTCACACTGGCCCTCTCCATGCCTCTCCCCCACCTTGGGCCTTTGCTCTGGCTGGGCCACCCTCTGCCATGCCCTCCTCACAAGGCTGCCTCCCGGTCACCATCCCGAAGGCTTGCCCGTGAGGAGCCCTTGCCACCCTGGCCTCTTGGCTCACTGCTCACCAGCAGCCTGCCTTATTTTTCTCTCTGGCACTTGGTTAGATATTAATAAATCTCTCCTGCACTATTAATATTCTCTCTGGCACTTTGTAGTTTCTAAATCACTTGGAGAATGTGTTGCTTGTGTGTTTGTACGAGGGATGTGTCACCCGCTCTGACTGACGGTGGCGTCGGCAGAGGCAGAGTGGGGATGGCGTGGGTCTCATTCACTTCTGGGACCCCAACACCTCGTACATAGTAGGTGCGCAATACATGCTGAAAGGGGGAGCCAATGGAACGGGGTCCTCGGAAGTTCTGCAAGGTGACGCTAGTTCCTCCGTCACCGTCACCCTGACTCGTTGGTCCCCCCCTCGCTGCCCCTCTAACCCGCCGCTTCAGTGGCTCACCCTTCTCTCTCTCTCCTTTCTCCTCCAGACACTGCCCGCCCACTCCTGCTCACCAAGATGGCAAACTTCACACCAGTCAATGGTAGCGCTGGCAACCAGTCTGTGCGCCTGGTCACGTCAGCCCACAACCGCTACGAGACAGTGGAGATGGTCTTCATTGCCACGGTGACAGGCTCCCTGAGCCTGGTGACCGTTGTGGGGAACATCCTGGTGATGTTGTCCATTAAGGTCAACAGGCAGCTGCAGACGGTCAACAACTACTTCCTATTCAGCTTGGCATGTGCCGATCTCATCATTGGCGCCTTCTCCATGAACCTCTATACCGTATACATCATTAAAGGCTACTGGCCGCTGGGGGCCGTGGTCTGTGACCTCTGGCTGGCCCTGGACTACGTGGTGAGCAACGCCTCTGTCATGAACCTTCTCATCATCAGCTTTGACCGGTACTTCTGTGTCACCAAGCCCCTCACCTACCCAGCCCGCCGCACTACCAAGACGGCGGGCCTCATGATCGCCGCGGCCTGGGTCCTGTCCTTTGTGCTCTGGGCGCCGGCCATCTTGTTCTGGCAGTTTGTGGTGGGCAAGCGGACAGTCCCTGACAACCAGTGCTTCATCCAGTTCCTGTCCAACCCGGCGGTGACCTTTGGGACGGCCATTGCTGCCTTCTACCTGCCCGTGGTCATCATGACGGTGCTGTACATCCACATCTCACTGGCCAGCCGCAGCCGGGTCCACAAGCACCGGCCGGAAGGCCCCAAGGAGAAGAAGACCAAGACCCTGGCCTTCCTCAAGAGCCCCCTGATGAAGCAGAGCGTAAAGAAGCCCCCCTCGGGGGAAGTGGTTCGAGAAGAGCTTCCCAATGGGAAGCTGGAGGAGGCCCCCCCACCGGCCCTGCCACCCCCGCCGCGTCCGGTGGCCGACAAGGACACATCCGAGTCCAGCTCAGGCAGTGCCACCCAGAACACCAAGGAGCGGCCGCCCACGGAGCTCTCCACCGTGGAGACCACTGTGCCTGTCCCGCCCGCCCCTGCCCGTCAGCCCCGGGCCCTCAACCCGACCTCCAAATGGTCCAAGATTCAGATCGTGACCAAGCAGACAGGCAACGAGTGTGTGACAGCCATCGAGATCGTGCCTGCCACGCCGGCTGGCATGCGTCCGGCGGCCAACGTGGCTCGGAAGTTTGCCAGCATCGCCCGCAACCAGGTGCGCAAGAAGCGGCAGATGGCGGCCCGGGAGCGCAAGGTGACGCGGACCATCTTTGCCATCCTGCTGGCCTTCATCCTCACCTGGACGCCCTACAACGTCATGGTCCTGGTGAACACCTTCTGCCACAGTTGCATCCCCGACACAGTCTGGTCCATCGGCTACTGGCTCTGCTACGTCAACAGCACCATCAACCCCGCCTGCTATGCCCTCTGCAACGCCACGTTCAAAAAAACCTTCAGGCACCTGCTGCTGTGCCAGTACCGGAACATTGGCACCGCCAGGTAGGGAGGTGAGGAGCCGGTGGCTGTGGTGTGTGTTGGGGAGCCTCATGGCTTCCCTGCTGAGGTGTAGAGACTCGGAGGTGGGGACGGCTCCTCACCCTGCTCAGCTAAGAGAACGAAGTCCCGAAGACCTCGTGACGCTCTGGCCCGACCGATTGAGACCAGCTCGCTGGCTCACACCGTGGCGATCCAGCCCCAGGGGCTGCCTGGCCCCGCAGGAGCTGGGGGCACTGGCCTAGGTGGGCACTTGCCCACTGTGCCCTCAACCCCATCGACATGGCACCTGGCAGGGAGAAGGCCAGGTCCCCCTCCACGGCCCCGCCCCCACCCCCCTCAGGAGGGTCAGTCCTAGGAGCAGAGGCTCGGGGCCAGAGAGGAAGCCTGAGGAGAGGTGACGTACTCCATTCTGCTGTAATTGGTGCTTTTGGCCCCCTGCACCCCGCATGTAGCCTCAGCCCCCCCCCCCCAAATCCCACTCCAGTGGCAGGAGTCTTCCCTTTCCGCAGCTGTCGGCCAGGCTCTGGTTGGGGGGTACCCTGCAGCACGCACTCCCCACATGCAGGAGGAGAGCTGGTCATGGGACCCACGGGGGTCAGAGTTGACCGGCAATCCTCTGGCCTCTTCAGAGTCCCCAGAGAAGGAATGGGGTGCTTCAGTACCAGTGTGGGGGCGGCAGGCAAGGTAGCCCAGAGTAGATTCTTCAAGATTGGCCGTGGGCTGGACCCAAAGACCTGTGCCCGGGGTGGGGCTATGAGGAGAGGGGCCCCAGCCCCGGGAGAGATGAGGGGTGGTGGGCTTCACAGAAGGGGGCAGGGTGTTGCCTGGTTCAAGATTCAGGAGGGGTCCTGGGAGACATTTCCACCATCACCCATCCCTGCTGATTCCATCAGCTGGAGGTACAAAGCCTCAGCCCCAACATGGTTGGTTCCCCCTGCCAGCCTGTCTTTCTCCCCATGCCCCCTCCACACACACAATTCCACAGTAAACTCCCAGGGAAGGGGCTTTTGTATATTAAAAAAAGAAAAGCTTTTATCGGGACGGAAACGGTTTATTTGTTTCTTAGTAATGGCGCCATGTGGGAAAGTACAAAAGGTTGTGGGGAGCATGTGTGAGTGAAATCCGTTTGGGAGGAGCCTGGAGCTTTCCAGAAACCCTGGTCCTCTCCACTTGGAGTGTGGGGGTGGGAGTGTGAGGGGCAGGGGAAGAGGCAGGTGTGATTGATAAAGCTAACGAGTGGGACGAAGGCACTGGTGGGTTACATCTCTGGAGGGGCAGGCCAGGGGGCGCTGGCACCCAGACCTGGCCTCTAGTCCTTCCCCTTCCCCTTCTTGGCTGTGAAACAAGAGAGACACACCTTGTTAGTGGGGCTCAGGGGACTCCGTGGAGACCCAGGGATGCAAAGCCCAGACAGACCCAACTGGACAGAGGAAGCTCTGCCCCGGAGTGGTTCTGGATGTGTGGAAACACCCCCACCAGCTGCTGGGACAGGGGCCATTGCAATGCCCCCACCTCCCCTATCCGTGGGACCCAAGGCCTCTCTTGGGACTAGACAGTTCAAGTCCCAGTGGCCCTTGCAACAGTCACCTGAGAAGTGGCTGGTTCACCCCTGCCCTGTTGGTTTTTCAAGGCTGGGGGCGAGGAAGGAGCCACTGGAGGGGACACCTTGATCTGACCTGACCAAATGCTCCCTCCAGCTGGGGACAGGACAAAGCCCAGCCCTCAGGGGACAAGAGGAAGGAGCCACTGGAGGGGACACCATGATCTGACCTGACCAAATGCTCCCTCCAGCTGGGGACAGGACAAAGCCTAGCCCTCAGGGGACAATTTCCCAGGCTCCTCTTTGGTTTGGCTTAAATAAGAGCCTTTTCTATATTCCTTCCCACTGGGGCCAGTGAGGATCTGACATTTTTTTGGGGGGTGGGCACTTTCCCACCTGCCAGGACCCAGAATTTCAGGCTTAAGTATTCCCTTCATAGGTGTCGTCCCGGGGCGCCCCCCCCCCCGGGGCGCCCCCCTCCCCGCAGGGAGCCCATCCCCTTCACTGACCTTTGGCCTTGGCTTTGGTCTTCGGGGTGCAAGGCTTCATCACGAGAATGGTGTCCTGGCACTGGGCGTTATACCGTGCTTTCTTCAGGGTGCCCTGGCGGGCCTTGGTGCCAGTGCCCCCATCGCACGCCCCCCAGTTCTCAAACTTGTACTTACAGTCGGCTGAGAAGAAGGCTGAGTTCAGAAGTGGGGCCACCTGGGGCCTGCCCGCTAATACCCCCGGCACCCTTCCTCCCCCAGCCCTCCCCGCCAGCCTCTTCCGCAGGCTTCCCAGCGCCCAGGCCCGCCTTTCGGGAGCGCCCACCTCACCTCCAAACTCCTTCTTCCAGTTGCAGGGTACTCTGCACCGGATGCGCTGAGTCTGGGTTCCGCAGGTGCCCTCGCGGAAACCCACGCCGCAGTCCTTGCTGCTGGGGGTGCAGGGCCCCCAGGCCCACTCGGCGCACTGGCCGCCCGGGCCGCCCTTCTTCGCCTTGTCTGCAACACGCGCGCAGCAGCGATTAGGGCCCGGGCGCGGGGCGCCCTCCGCCGGGGTGCCGCGTGCTCCCCAGGCCGCCTCCTAGCACCCCCTCCCCTGTACAGGCCCCTCACCTTTCTTTTTGGCCGCCGTGGAAGTGAGTGCCAGGAGGGCGAGGAGGGCGAGGAGGAGGAAGGCTCGGTGCTGCATCCTGGAGGGAAGAGCAAGGGTCAGCGCGCCCTACGGTCCTCCTCCGCCGGGACGCCACGTGCACGGCTCTCCTAGCCCACGACCCCCACTCTCCAGGCCCCCAGACCCGGGTCGCGACGGAGGACGGGAGGGGACCGCCGCGAGCCTCGGACGCACGGCCGGGGGCTTCTCTCGGGGTGGGGGATGCCTCGGGCCCAAGACCCCCACCCGGCCGCTGTCCCGAGTCGGCAGTGGCCAAAGTCGCCGTGCCCGGAGCACTCACTCGCTCACTGTCCGCGATGCTTAGCTCCCTCCCGGCTCCGGCCCGTCCCGCTGC